ACCCCTATGCCTAAGAAGTGTAGGCAGCACTTACATTGTGATTTGAACACAGCAGTTTTGTACTGCATCTCCACACAAGGGTGCATTTCACTTTCTGAACGACCACCACAAAACCTTGAGTAAGCAAGTGTGGCCAGTGTCCTGACTAGCTGTTCCAGGGCTACTAGCCATGACCAGTCTCAGAAGAAATAAAAGCTTGACCCAGATTTGAGAAGGAGTCACAAGAAGACTTTCACGAGAGATGGTTTTGTAGCTAACTCACAACTTGGCCTCTGGAGATAGCTTCTATTTCCAGCTTTGTCAAAGACAATGCATGATTTGGCTGGACCAGTTGACCTCTCCCTGTCTCATTTTGCCCAGAGCAGAGTAAAGATTATTGCATCTATTTGGGTACTTTGGACTGAAGGTGCCGTTTATGGTTTTCCCCATTTCGCAGATTAACAAACTCTAATGAGAGAAGTTGCAATTTGCTCACAGTTACTAAGACTCTGCGAAGTTAAGAACTGAACCCAAGAGTCCTGGATCCCAGTCCCATAGTCTTAACAACTTGAGCACACTTTCACGAAGATTTCATGGTGCAACTTTACAATTCTTACACTAAATATGGGTATTTCTGTAAGGCTCTGTTAAATTATATGCAAAAGAAAAGGTGACTCAGGAATTTGTCTTCGAAAAAACTCTACTTCTAACTTTTTATAATTATTATTAATTCTTTTTTTATTTGATAGTCTAAGTTTTCAGCCTTCAGGTGTCAACCTTGACACACCTTTGTGAGAGCTGGCTTTTAAGGGAAAGAAGGTGCTTGTCTTTCCAATATTTTCCTCTCAAAAAAGGCAGCTCAGTCATGTGTAATTTGGGCACATCAACCATAATTAGCAGGCAAGTTAAGAGATTTAAATTGTTTCAGGGCTATTAAAAAACTCCAGTAAAAGAAAATAAGAAGGGTGATGACAGAGAATCCTTTTGTCATTTGTCTATATCAAGTGGGAACTCTCATAACATCGGTGATCCAGGGGGGTATTTAAAACCTGTTTAAAGGGGGCAGAAAAAGTCATAAACACAGGTAATCTGGCAGGCCTCATTTCTTCACCTGTCTAGTGGTCAATTCTCTGTAGATGCTGACTTTTCAGAGATAAGTTTACAAGCAATTAAACTGTCAATCCTAAAAGGGATGGCAGAATTCTGTTCAGCAAAATGTGGGAAGCATCAGGGCTGTGGGAAACCGAGACCCTTGAGATCATCTGAAGGTAAAAGATGTAAGAAATGGCATGGCATGAGGGCTCCTGACTAGCTGCAATGTGTTCAACAAGAGGAAATTCAACATTATCAAACTCAGAACACCTGGTACTTGGGATGCAATTATTTGCAGTGAGTGTGCAGCTAATGCACCAGAAAAGAACACTGCCTAGGTTCACGGTCCATAGACAGGGCTTTGTGTGCACTGATTCACATAGGACAAAAGTCAACTTAAGCCTTCAGCTAAAATTCAAGCCAAACCTTTCAGCCAGTTTCTAATTTCACAGACATTAGGGCTGGAAGGGACCTCGGAAGATCATCGAGTTCAGCCCCCAATCTCTTCCCTTTGGCCTCTGAACTTCCCACTTCCCATCAGGTCAGGAACCACCATATAGTATGAGAAAGCTTGTTCTAGCAGCATTTGCAGAAGTACAACACCAGAAGTATGACTGGGCATTGACTTGCTCCAAGCCATACAGAGTATCAAGGGTAAAATATGAAGCCCTTCCAATCATCAGCCAAGTAGGACCCAGGCAGCTTTGAGGCAAATAAAGATGTGCTCTGACATGAAGAAACATCTGTCCTCTTTCATAAGACCTAGGTATTATTGTTCCCTTCACATCTTAACAGCACCCTCTCTCCATCCTCAGGTTTCTGCCTCAAGAACTTTGCTGCATCTTTCCAGGCTTCCGCCGTAGCATCAGAGAGGCTGGGGATAAAGCAATTCCTGGCCTGACAGATCTTGGTGGTGCATGTGGCCTAGCTTAATTTCATTGAAAAACTGGTAGGCACCAAGTATGATTTATAGAGATCGAGAGCCCTGCAATTAAAGGTTAAAAATCCTCCCCAAATGGGGAGAATTTTCTCTTTGGGTTAAGTGAATTGTCCAGTGCATCAGAAGGTGCTACCCTGCTCCAGAGACTGTCAGGAAGCATTTGAAATTCATCAGGCTCTGCTCTACTTGCTGTCATCTTTGCTCATTTTTTCTTGTTCTCCTCAGTTAAGGCCATCAAGGCAGAGAGTTAATGGCAACATGACAGGTGGCTTGTGTGGCATGGTCCCACTGGGCAGACCGCTGGGAGTACCTTTATTAAGCTAAATTTGCGTATTTGCTCAACTCCTCTTTATTTCCTCATGGTCATTATGCAGAAAAAATACTTTGTAGCACTAGTCATGCCAAGCAGGTGGGGAAACAGTTTTCCCATCTCGTGATCATTCCCAATTCAAAACCAAAAAGCCCTGTCCAAAGAGAAACCACATTTTTCCCCTTCCGTTTCAAAACTGTCAAATTTGGACATTTGACAATTTTGAATTTTTTCCAGAAATCTGATGCAAGAATTCACCAAGATGACCTTCTTCCTGTGAAAAGCTTCTATTTTGCTTCAGCAAGAAAGTCCTGCCTGGCTCCCATCACAACACTACCAGCAGGCAAGTCAGATGGATGGAGCTTCTACTCTTGGGTGAAACATGGAAGCTGTTTAACAATGCTCAGCAACACGCTGCAAAAGCAGAGGCCAAAAAATGCATAAAAATTCCTTGTTACATCGAATGTCTATAATGCAGAAGGTAATGAGCTAAGCTGGAATGTGGCCTAGACACTGAAGGATTTTTAATGGCAAGTGGTCTGCACATCAGTTTTAGCAGTCACCCAAGAGATGGTTAATTTATGGATACCTTTTTGTGAGCTGTTCAATGATTATGTTCCCTTGGGAAAGTGATGCAGTAACTAATACAAAAGGGCTTTGCTGCAGTAATAAATACATGCAGCAATGAAAGCTTTGGCTTTATTTACTTTTCATGGGATCATAGGCAAGTTGGGCTGGAAGGGACCCCCTGAGGTCACATAGTCCAGCCGCCTGCTCAAGGCATAAGCGTCCTTGACTAAACTATCCGACCATCTTCTAAAAAGTGACATTTCTGCAGCACATTGAAATAATATCTATGCAGTAACTCTAAGTAAACCAGACTTCTGCTGTGAATAGTTTTCCACAGCTGTTGTTTTGAGGAACAGCATACTAGACCCCTTTTCCTATATAAGCTGCATCCTTTTCTTGTATCACTGCTGAGGTGAGATAAACCCACAGTCATGCATGCTGAAATCTGTCAGACCACCCGGCATTCTAGCTTTGTAATATTTCTCTATTTTTACAATAGCTCGTCTGACCAACTTGTCATGTCAGAAGCCCGAGTCAATTAAAAATGCAGTGAGCAGAGGAAGCAAACACAAGGCAACCAACTGAGAAAGCAAGCCACAGACCATGGCCAAATTTGCTTCAGTTTCCTCAGGGTCGCTGGAATCCAGATTTCTTTCATCATGAAAGAGGCTGAACAGACCATGGTTTTGCACAATTCAAGAATGTCTTGTATCACATGTGAACAAGCACCCTTTTTTCTTTGGGAGTAAATAACTACAAATGCAAGCACCTACTCTGGATACCTTTAAGAAATCCTTGGATGTTATCTTGCTGGGGTGATCTGACCCCAGCTGACTTCCTGCCCCTGGGGCAGGGGGCTGGACCCAATGATCTTGCAAGGTCTCTTCCAGCCCTAATGTCTATGAAATCTATGAAATAGAAAAGCATAATCATTTTGCAATCCTTTAAACTATCCTAGGCTACTCAGTGCCAGATGTGACTGGTGATAAAAGTCTTCCCCAACAAAAGCATTCCAGCAACAGGCTGATATACTTAGAACACTTTATCTCATCGCACCTTAACTCTCCCTCGATGAGAGAGATCCCTTTTGTATCACTGTATAGACTGAGTATTTACTTTCAAACAGTGCAGGATAAACAAAATGAGAGTAGGATCAGAAACAGATTTGTGGCATTTTACAAGAGCCAGAAACTGAATGCAAATCACTTCTGGTATCACAAAGCATGATGTCCTACTGATAGGGTTTTGCAAAGCCAGAGCTACATCAGATCTTGTCCTTTTTGGGGATTATTGGAACAATAAGTATGTGCCAGGAAAATACAGCCCGAGGTAAAATTAGGTTCTCTCTAGAACAGTGGTCTCCAAAGTGGGGTGCACGCACCCCAGGGGGTGCACAAGACAATCCATTGGGGTACGGGAAGAAAATCATATTTTTTTTAGTGAGAGCAAAAAGTTTTTTTGTACCATTATATAATTTATAAATAAATAAATATACATATATTGGGGTGCATGCTCAAACATTTTTTTACAGATAGGGGTGCGCGATCAAAAAAGTTTGGAGACCACTGCTGTAGAAGATGGAACACCCTTGCTCTCTCTCAGCCTTTATTCCTGGAAACCCACAGATGTAGCAGCCTGGTTTCAAGTCAAGAGAACTGAATTTGCTTCCAACAGTTGGATCCAGCAGCATCCATTCCCGCTCAGGAGTGAATGCAATATAATCGCTCTGAAACACTCACTCATTGCCCCCCAGTGTTCAATTTTAACTGGGTTACAACAAGATATGTATTGCAATACTTTCTTGCAAAGTAAAACAGGCTCAGTTTGCCCATGTCTTTTCATGCCAAGCAGTCCTACATTGTATGGCACTCATCTGAAGAAGCTCCGAAAGCCAAACTGATTTTAAGCCGATTCCCAAAGTAGGGGGCAACTGTCCTTACTCTTCTGCTTTATTCAGAGGAAGAGGGTGACAAAGCAGTGACAACATTTTGAAACGTAAGTAAAACAGGTTCCCTTTTCTTCACATACCTCAGCAAACATGACTGGACAAGCCGCCCACAGGTGGCAAGTCCTGAAGAACAATGACCGTGACCAAGAGTTCTCACGTACCTGTGGAACCAGCAAGGAAAGTACTATCCCAAAAGTGGCTTCGAAGTTGTCCTTAAACCAGAGGCCAATTGCATGGATGCAGCCCCGCACATGGATGATATCCACCAACTCCAGTCGCTGCAAGCAAAACAAAACCAAACATAAGATGTGGCAACCCCAACATACACCACCCAAACCCACAGACCATCTCCTGGAGTGTTTTTCTGTCTGTTGTACTGCCAAGAGTCAAGAGGAAGAAGAACTGGGAAAGCTGTGCATCAGACGCTAATGGTCCAGTGTAAAATTACAGCTGGGAAACAGGACTCACAGGATACAGCAGCTTTAATTTGGCTTCTCAGGTCCAAGTTTCAGCCTGAAAGTCATTCTTGGATGCCAGTCTGGTTTGCCATGTAGGAGGAAGGGATACTAGCTCCTGAATATTCCTCCAGAAGGAATATAAAGGCAACAGATCACTTCAAAGCAAGAATTCACTCAGTCTCTCCCTGAGCTCTTTGCCCACCTTCAACAGGAAGGGATTTCTCTAGCTGCCATATTGGGGGCTGATGGTGAAACCTACTGGCCCAGTTCTAATGTGAACTACTGACAAGCATGAAGAGGAATCCTGGTTTTTTCCTCCTGGGCAGGCAGCTTTTAAAGGGAATAGTTAATCTGTGCTTTTTGTATTTCAAGCTGATGCAGATTTACAAGTAAAGGGAGGGGTGGGAAACAGAAGGGCCTGTTTTGTGCAGAGAAATGCAAGCGATCCATAAGAAGAGCAGAGCTTGGGAGTCTGTTTGAGCGTCTCATACGACTGCTGGGCTTCGAGTGCAGTTACTGAAGTATAAAGCTTCACAAACCACCCACAAAAACAACCACAACAAAGCAAACCCTGCTTTCTGCTGTCAGGCTCTAATAAGCACAAGAATTGACACTCCCACTCATCCAGCCAGGAAAGAAACACCAAAAATACTGAGATCCACTCAGGCACTCTCGAGTCTGCCAGGTTGCATTGCAGTAACATGCAGCAGCCACAGCTGATGTCAGACCCAGAGTTGGCCCCAGGCACTTAAATTCCCAATTCATGCAGATTCACACCTTATAGACTAACTAAATTAGAGAGAGAGAGAAGCTTTCATGGACAGTCCAACATTAAATCTAACATGGAAAGGAAAAGGAAATTTTAAAGTTTCTCATGGAAGTTCTGAAATGTCTTTTAGGAAAGACCCAAACCACATTTTGGCTTGGCTCTTTGGAAGCAGGGAGTCTGGATTTGCGAAGGACCAGGGATTCTGGCTAGAAAGCAGTAGCACCAGTGTTGCCAAATGGTTATTTTTGTCCCTGGAGACCCTAACTGGTCGATCCTGCTCCTTCGGAGACTAAGGTGGAATCTTTCTTGTGTGAAGGCAGCTTGCTGACAGTACTGCAGCACTCCCACTTCCTTGACAGAGAAACAAACCTGGGCCAGAACAACTGAGGCAGGCTGGAGGGTGAAGAATCAGCTGGTGTTTGTTTCTGGTTCTTCATCCACCCATCCTGAATGCTCAAAACTCCTCAACAGAAAACTGGGCACTAACAGTACTGATTTCTTGGTGGGAGAAGAGGAAAATCAAGCTGATTCTGCTGCTGAAGATCCATGCAATGGCGCTATCTAATATTAAATGATAATGTATTGCCATTCTATAGCACCTTTCATTAGCTGACCAACCATCGAAGCCATTACCTCGTGGATCATTTCAGAATGCAAGAAGAGGCAGGAAGCCAGCAAGAGAGTCAGCATTCGTAAAAAGGGGGCGGGTAGCAGTATGTAGCTTATCACTGCCTACACCCAAGGACTTTTACTCCCAGTTCTCCTCTAAATTCTCTAACCTCCCAGCTAGGCCCAAAGTCTCCTGAGGAGCTAGGACCCAGCCTGGGCCCAATTTTCTACAAACTTTGGGGTCTCTTTCCTTCCTGATACTCTTTAACATCTGCCCCTGCTCCTGTCTTTCCCTGGATCTGTTTCCCCCCTTAGCACTCCTTCAGCATCCCAGCTTTCCTCTCCCCTTCTCTCCTCCCGCTCCCAGCAAACTCTGAGAAGAGCCAAGGGCCAGCAAGTCAACTGGCAAACACATCTGGCAACTCTTTCCTTTGGACCTACATTGCATAAAGTGCTAAAATGATGGCACATCCCGAAGTGCCACAGAGAAATCCTGCTCCCTTCTTTGGGAACCTAAAATATTACAGCATTAGAAGCATTAGTGTTATCGCTGGGGGTTTTTTTGGCTGTGGTTAACAGAAGGGTTTTCTGTGAGCTCTCTGTAAGTGTGTCACTGTGTACAGAACTCCTTCTCCCTTAAATGGGCTCATTCATCTAGTAAAACCTTGGAAGGAAATAAAGAGACAATGGACTTAATAAATGCTAAAATGGAATAGCTTGGCTGTAATTTAACTGGCCTTGATAGAATTTGTGCGGTGCTGTAGCAGCGGAATGCATCAAAGTAAATTATAGCTATTGACCTTTTATGAAGACAAGGGAGGCCTATTAAAATGACCTATGATAGCAAAGATGACTCTTGAGTCAGCAGCTGTATTTTACCTTGTCTACCTGCAATGGGCTTGTGGCGCTGCTGTTCCTTTTCTTTAGTCCCACTGAGAGAACACACAAGCTGTATTTGGATGTCTCTGGATTTTAAGACTGCACTACATGGAAAGCATCCAGGATGTGGGGATCCATAAAGAGTCAGGGGATGAGCCTGGGATCTCTGGATCTGGAACTGAGAGCCAACCCAGTCAGAGTTAACACACAGGTTTTGGAGCACAAAGCCTATACAGAACAAGCCGCTAGGGGAGGGGAGATAGTTATACCGTGCAAGAATGTAAAATCCCTTGCTGAAGTCAGAGAAAGAAACCCTTGAGCCCCTAAATTCTACTGCACTCTAACTTAGTAGTGGGAGTCATTCTAGTTGCTGTTACTTGGAGACAATGCTAACATGCATTGCTATACATTGATACACACTGCTATGCAAACACTACTATTCATTGCTATACAATGCTATTCACCTCTCTCCAGAAGAAGCAGGTGTGAGGATTGCTTGTCATACTGATACCCTATTCTAAAAAAACACCCGTTTCCAGCAACAGGCCTATTTCACGCTCAGCAAGTTGTTTCCTTGAAATGCCTTCATATTTCATCATTCCACTTCCTTCATACAGCAGCAAAACCCAGAGCACCCGACAGCTTGATGCCAGAGTGGAGGCCTTTTTTGTCACCTTCAGTTTGTCACGCTCTGGATTAGGAGTCCCAGGAACAGCCGTGCTTTTGGTCTACTTGTGAGAGTGGGTGACTAGGAAACAACTCATTGTTTTTCTTCCTAGCTCAAAAGTACACTGGGAGCGCCATGGTGCTGAACACTCCTGTTGTTCCCCATGAGATTTGGGGGTGCTTATTTCAAATTAGACCTGTGCCTGCCTCTCATTACTTGTGAAGGATAGAATAATGTTTACCTGCTTCACTGGGGAGCTGTAAGGCTTCCTGCTCCATAATAAGATATTGCACTTCTGGTGCCTTTCATCAGAGACTCTCCAGCCATTTTGCCATTGGTAAGAGGGCCACAGATACCTGACTCCTGAGGTAGGGAAGCATTAGCCTCATTCTCCAGATGCGTAAATTGGGCACAGAACAGGGAAGACACTTGCCCAGGGGTCACACAGCCCTAGCTCTGCTGTTCAGTGCTGGGATCTGACCATAAGGGATCTCTCCTTTGCTTCCAGCTCTGTGATACTTACAGGAGAGGTGCTAGCGGACTGCCAAGGCATGTTTTTGATTAGCATCTTCCTAAAAGATGTCCCTCTGATGCATTTAAGCATGTCTGATACCCAGGCTGCAAATACTTTGGAGCTGGGCTTGTCTAATCTTTGGGACAACAGAGCCCTGACTGGGGCAACTCCATGCTACTTCAGTAAAATAAGTAAAGTAAAATAAAGTAAAACCTGCACCATACAATAAACATACAATAAACACACTAGAAGTGGGCACGACTACTGTTGTTTCCCCAACAGTGTCAGCAACAGGAAAAGATTCCTGTGGGCAGAACAATTTAGACCTGAACTGGTGGGAGCCATCTGAGATGCTCTCAACTATGAAGTACAATATTTGTAGACTAATTATCAAAGTTAAAGGCAGCCTCTCATCACCATACTACAGGCCAGCTGCAAAGGGAAAAGCTATACAGATTTCCCTCACTTTATGAGGGTTCTGTGCATGTGAATTTACCCTTACGCAATGACACTTTTTATACCAAAAAATCATTATATGCAAGGTAAATTCACTCTTGTGTGATTGGTGTGGTGGAAGCCACTTTGTGCGGTGCATTGTGGGAGTGACATGCACAAAATATGGTCCCGTGTGGATCTGTGCTCCTCGCTTGTCTGCGACACGTGTTTCTGTGGTTGCCATCCCCATGATGGTAACATTCACCACCACGCTGTGCTTGTGTGTACTGTCTGCCGTGGGTGAGTACCAAAACTGCCCTGTGAAAGTGGCAGACACGGGTCTCAGGGTCAGCACAGTCGAGGTCCTGGAACGTATCTCTATTTGTGACATTGTAAAGTGTGTTCCCTTTATGTGAATTTGAGTTATGTGTCGTTTTCCAGGAATGCATGCACAGCATAAAGTGGGGGAAACCTGTACTAGGGACAGCTATGCAGTCAGGTCGCAGTAGGTGATGTTCCCTTGGCAATCCTTGCTGGGAGGCCAGAAAGGAAACGTGTGTCAGATGAAACAGGGTTACAGGAAAACACCACACCACAGAGGAGGTATGTATGGAGTGACGGGACACCACCCACACGACCACCACTGAGAAGACAACATGACTTCCAAGCCTCTGCAGTAAAAGCCATTCAGAGACCAGATGCAACTGCACTCCCCAACATGCAGGATCCATGCTCTTTCCTTTAGCCGCTTGCCACGGCTGTTTGGCAGGATGCAATGCAGCCTCCTCATTTCTTTAATTATCATATTTGTCATGTACGTGATCAGCGGGTGACAACAAGCTGACAGGTTTAATGAAGTTCCTAAGCTGTGTACATAAGATCCCATTTGCTGTGGACATGTTTATTTTCAGAGGCATTTTGCTTCCAGGCCTGCGAATCTGCCCAGCCAGCCAGCTGCAATTGATACATCAAGCAGCCTTTGTAAAGGAGTGCTCTGCATTCCAGCCGTCTAATTCTTGTTATTTGCCTACAAGCTTTTTAACTTTATTATCCCCAAATGAGTAATGTGTGGGCGGAAAAGGTTCTGGGTGAACTCCTTTAGTACAAAGCTGCTAAGGAGCACCGAACAGCATCTGCATTTGTATTTATAGCACCAGCTTTGGCATGAGCCTCCATTGTTTGTTTTAAGAAGTCATGAAAATTTTCCATTCCCCTGAGTTAAACAAACACTGTCACCGTGCCAAGAGCTTGTTTTTACGCACAGAAATGTGTGTCCACGCTGGGCAAGGCATGAATGGGTTTGTCCTGCTGCGGCAGAGATGGTGTAGGGGTGTAGAGAGCCCGGTCTAGCTGCACAGGTTCTAATTTCAGCAGGTTGGAAACACATCTCCAGCTTTACTACATTTGTTCTGCAGTTTTCTCACTGAAGGCAAGACCTTAACAATGTCTAAGACCGATCACAAGATCTGACAACACTTTGTATTAGAGCAGAGCCGGGGTCTGGCATTGGCGGTGACAATGTTCTACGCCTTTTGCATTGGGAGCTGGGATATTTTTGACCCTTTGTACAGCCTCTTGTACAAGAAACTCCTGCTGTTAGGAAAGCTGCTGGGCACTACCGGCATTGTCTATGAGCCCCTGTCCAGACTAGCGCTCCACTAGCTGCACAGGTCTCCCAAAAGTTCACACCATTAGGAGTTTGGCAGGCACTCAAGCTGCTGGGAAGGGATTTATTCTCTGATGAACCTTTTCTTCATGGGGAAAAAAAAAACATTTACAGATCAGCTTATTCATAAAAGCACTGAAAAAAAATTGCTCCAATTAAGCCTTCCTCAGCTAATCAGCCATTTAAAAAAAAGAAGCTATTTTTATTAGATTGCTTTTTTTTTGCATGCAAGGCATGACTGCAAGCATGAGGACAATGACAGAAACAGCTCTTCTGCAGCAGGTGCCCCAATAGTTGAATAAATGAATGAGGACAGAGGGCAACCCATAAAATAGGACATTAACCAATGAGCCTGCTGAACAAAAGAGAGAGACTTCATTCTTGAATAGCATCCCCTCAGGCGATATTCCCTTCCCAACTGATCCTGGAGAGAGAGGAGCTTTGTAGCATGCCCTAGTGAACCTATCTGGCAGACAGATCCTCAGGCAGCAGTTGCCTTTAACAGGTGAAGAAGGAGCCTATAAAGCAAGGAGTTGGCAGATGAAAGAAAAGGAGAACGTTACCTCTTTTTCGAGGGTCTTGTATCCACACAGAGTGTTCACAACTTCTCCGGGGACCTGTTAACAGAAGAACAGTTTTAGACTGGGAGCACTGTTTTGGTTTTAGACTAGAAGCACTGTTTTGAGGAAAGGCAAAAGAAATCAGAAGGGGTATGAAACTCTGCCCCCTTGGGTGGTGCCACAGACCTTTCAGCACAGTGCAAGGCAAACAGTTCAACAGTCTTTGGCTTGCACATCAGTGGGAACTCCTGCCAAATGCCACCAAAGTCACCACCAGCACGCTGCACCCCAGAGCCCTTTGAAAGTCAGAACTGGGACACCTTTGGTTCCACTTCTGGCAAATACCAAATGCTTTGCTCAGTCCAGGCCCCGATGGCTTGGGGCTCCTCCCACCCTTACATCTGAGAGCTGATCCCACTCCTCCTTAGGACAGTCCCCTTTCCTTTCAAGCCATTACCAGTAGTTACACTTATCCTTGTGTCCCCCTCAACCATGTCTCTGCCCTCTTTGGGATTTTCCCCCTTCGGGTATTTAGCTTGACCAAAACCAGTCAGTAAGAGGTCACCCGCACTGCTTGACGTATCTTTCTTTGTTCACAGGTGTATATCCAGCAGAGAAACAGATAAATGACTTCCCTGTGGCAGGGGGCTCATGACTCCACTTGGATGACAGAGGAGGGAGACTGGCTTTCCTAGGGAAGCGGGGATGAAGAGTGGAGGCTGATCAGAATGGGGAAGGGGGACTTTGAGACAGCCAGGTTGAGGAAGCAGGGTGACCTGTGCTTTGGGCTGCTATTGCTAGTTTTGTGCCAGGAAACAGAAAGGGGGTAGGGGGTGAATGTTTAACTTTATGCAGCATGTGAAATGGGTTTATGGAAGAGGTGAGAGAAAGCCACCACTTCCATTTCATTCCTTCTACCCCCTTAATGATTGTTCTTACTAGAGTTGTTAAGAAAAGATTCAGGAAAATGAAACGTTATACTTTTAAGGCAGGGTAAAACAACTTCCAAGAAATTGTCCTATAGTTCTTCCTGCACGATTGCCATTAGCTGCATTAATAAAGTGCCCACAGCCTCTGACAGAGATCAAAGCCCAGTTGAACTCAGTGCTTTATATACATGATGCATCAAAGTTCCTACATGGAAGAATTCATGATTTAAACTGACCAAGAAAAGGATAGGAGGAAGTCACTTACTTAAGGTAACACAGAAGGTTATAAAAAAACCTTTGACCATTTAGTAAGGAATCTTTCCTATAGGAACAAATTTTATTTTAAACATTCCTGGAAGTATTTTGGCCCTGAAACGGCAATACGTGGACTTTAGAGATTGATCTTACACTCCCTGAAGTCAGCAGCAAACCTCCAATCAATGTTAATGGTTTAAGAGCTAGGCACAAATGTGCTAGAGAATGAGGGTAGGTGCCCCCATTACACAATTTTACTAGGCTGATTGAAAGAAATCAAACCATCTTTTCCCTGTTAGTCACTAGAGGACTTTTGCAGTGGGGGCTTAGCAACTGGCCTAGGAATTATGAAGGCAGGGGTTCCTCATGAGTTGCAACCATTTCTTCCCTGCTCCTGTCAGAAAACAGACTTTCTTACAGGGTTTTGGGGGTTTTTTTGGTAATTTTTATTCCTACAAAAACCAAAGAGGCATCAAAATAGCTAGGGGCAGTATTCAGGGAGTCAGCAGGAGGATGTGTGAGCATGTTGACTGGCATGTAATTTAGCACCTCTCAGGATCTAGCCTGCGATGCATTTTGTTTGCTTATTTTATGGATCAAACCGAAGCTTCCTCAACCTGGCGTGTTTCAGAAGGCACTCTGTCCCCGAAATGGACACCTTGAAAGCATGATAATTTTAGATGTAAGAAGATGCTGGCAACCCGTAAAAGCTCCTGGATAACAAAACCAACTTTCCATGCTTTAGATGCACAGACATGAAAAGAAGTGTGTTCCTTGCAGTGCAAATTGTCTTCTCTGCACAACACAGCATAAAAAGAATCGCACCATTGAAGAAATTTTAGCCATTAAGCGCCAGCCCATTTCTTTTGTAATTGGTGGGTCAATTATACCAATGCTACTTTCTCACAACTCATTATTCCTACAATATGTTACAGCACGGCGTTCTTGTAAAACAAGACTATTGCAGTTTCCAGTTATGTACTGCTAAACTGCCTTTGTGCAACAGACTGAACAGAGTTAAAAGAGGCTAGTATGACTGCAATGATCAAGGAGGTGTTTGTGCATGTTAACAATTGGGTGAAACCCTGGCTCTCCTTAAGTATGGGGCAAAACTCCTATCCGTCTCTGTGGAATTCCTGATTGCACCTTTTGGTTCAGGTCTTATAATCACTTTGATAGCATAAGGAGTGCAAATACAATGAGTGCCTATGTTAAGGTTCTATTATACTGCCAGACAGGTATTTGGGAGGCTTTGTGTAACTGAGAACTGAGCCCTTTAAGTACCTCTTCAATTACAATTTTGTAACCTTGGTGTCCCACCCACCCCGCATGAAAGGATCCTTTCCCCCAGCACGCTGTCAAGCCGAGTGTTGTTCTCTAGAATGTATTCTGCGCAGCCATGAAATTATGGCAGGGCGCATGGGTTTGCCCAGGTACTCAAGAGCCCCAAAAGACTCCCCTGCCACACACGTGCCCACTGCTGATCCAAGGACATCTGTCTCCTTGAGGTGCTGATGGGCACAGACAAGAAATGCGGTTCTTGGGTCTAAGTCATGGTGAGCCACAGAAAGGGCCATGAGTTAGTCTGATCCTCCGAACTCAACAGATGTTAGCTGTTGGATTGGGAGGCTGGAGGATCAGCTCCAATTTGGAGTGGATCCAGGGAGACAGGCTGCCTCTGTGCAGCCTCTCCCCCTAGCTCAACCCCACCCCAACCCTTGCAGCTCCGCTGCTGTCTCTGGATGGGAGGGGGGAGAGGGCAGGGGAGAGAGGTCCATTCTTTGGTTTTCTCAGCTCCACTAAAGTAGGGGCTGGTAGACCAGAGTCCCCCACCAAGGTGAGAAGCTCCAATCCACTTTCCCCCCACCCCACTCCAACAGGGCTGAGAAGACCCAAGAAGGGACCTCCCTCCCCTGCCTTTTCCCCCTCCCATCCTGGGACAGCAGCTGGGGCCAGGCTGTGCTGAAGGCAGAGCAAACAGAAATGAATGAAGGCACTCCGCTTTGGAGCATATTCATTTGAATCCTCAAATCCTACAATGAGGGTTAATTTGTCATGCGATTGGAGGGCTCTGTAGTTGTGCTCTTCTGTCTGGGCACAGCTTTAGAGCATTTCCAAGGAGCCGATTGCATGACAAATATCATTTCTGTCTGTGCTTGATGTGTCCTAGCAGAATGCTCCCGAGAACATACCCATGGATCTGATGCCCGCCATCCCCCAGAGAGTGTATGGCAGAGAACTGCAATAGTGAAACAATTAAAATCGTCTGAAACAGGAACTCACTGCACAATGCATTTGTACAGTTCCCCCACCATTTGGGGCATGGAGGCAATGTATTAATATTGTTGCTTCTGTAGAGTTCATTAGAATGGGCTAAAACGCTATGTCTGAAGCAAGGTTTGCTGGTCCTTAAAATATCATTGGTTTTTAGAAGAATGTCTAAGCACGTTTCTATCCAATAATCTTTTTTTTTTTTTTTTTTTTAAGAAATCACATTGGCATAACTCTATTAAAGTTCCTAGGGCTTGTTCAGAGGGTTCATTTTTTGGCTGTATAAATAGGTCACCAACTGATCATTTAAGAGAAGCAAGAATTCTGATGGGCGATATCTTTTACTGGACCAACTACATGGTTGGGATAGATACAGACAAGCTTTTGGGTATCACAGTGCCCTGCTTCATTTCATATTTATTTACCACTTCATTTTCTGGCTACTTCCAGCTTTGAATCAAATGACTCAGCTCATCCCTCTTTCCTGGTGCTATGAGGCCATTAGCTCAGCAATGACTTCATGACACCAGTTCCTGCTGGCATCAAATTTTTCTGGTACATTGATCCCAACCCAGCCTGCTTCATTTTTAAATGCATCTGTTACCATTCCTTGATTTCATCTCTGTCAATCCCTTCTCTCATTCTGTTAAGCAGCTATTTTAATTTCCTCGAACAGAATGACCTTGATAGATAAGGTATGGAAGAGACAGGGATTTTCAAAAGGTGTTGTCTGCCCTGTGTTATTACCCCATTATCAGAGATTGCAAATAACATGTGAGCTGGCCAACAATGGCCTGAAAGTAATTGGCTGGTCTCTCTCAGTGAAAGGAAAAGTAGAATTTACACTCACAAGCACAACAGATGGTAGAAAAGGAGAGATTGCTTTCATGAAAAAAGTTTGAATTCCACATTAAAATACCCTCCAGCCTCTCCCAGCATTTAGACAACAATATTTTGCAGCTTTTACTAAGAAATGTGTTCTTGTTTATAACTGTGCATATTAAAAAGGAAGTACAAGACTCAGAGACGTGGGATCTACCCTCTGCTTTGTTCTGTGCAACTGCTCACTTCTACTGCAGATGGTGAAACACACCCACAGCAGGGGAGGACAGACAACATGACTTATCTTAATGTGAGAGCTCAATTTTCTATTGCAAGAAGCATACCTATGTACACATGATCTCTGCATCATTAATGCCACAATTACAGGCCTTAGTCACGTAAGTACATCACCACCATTCTAGCCTGCCAGACTGAATTAATTCTACCTTAATGTGTTTAAAGCACTGAATCATTATCAGATGAGTCCATCGGATGTCCAGGTGATAGGCATCTATCTCCTTGCTTTTTGGAGGCACTGTCCATGTCTACACAAGATGTTTACTGCAGCGTTAACTAATTAGCTCCGCAGTAAAACATCAGAGAAACTGCACCCCAAGGTCTTGAGAGCAAAACTTGTGTCATGTGTATGTGTTAAGCCACAGTGGGGTCAAAACTGCAGGCATGGTAGCCCCTGTGGAGGCAACAAATCCTGCTAAGTTTCAAGGAGATAGGTGCAGGGGGTTCAGGGAAACTGCACCCCAAAATCTTGAAAGCAAAACT